GGGGGGGGGGGGCAGCATTTTCTTTAAGGCCTTCAACTGATTGGGTGAGGCCCACCCACACACATTATGGAGGGTAATCTGCTTTACTCGAAGTCTACTGAGTTCAATGTTAACCTCCTCTTTAAAAAATACCTTCACAGCAACCTCTAGAATAACCATTTGGCCAAATATCTGGGCACTGCAGCCCAGTCAAGTGGACACATAGAATTAGCCATCCCCAGATATGTTAGCTTACTGTAGCTCTTTACTTACCCACAAGTCAGAGCTCCACAAACCTCACCCCCCTTAGTCCGAGCCTCACATCCATAAGAACGTGGTGAGGTGGCTGACCAGGCCTTAGGGACCAATACATTCTCCGAGCCACAGGGCCTCGTGAAGTGTTGCCCTAATTTTGCTTGTCAAAAGGAATAGCTAAAAACTGATATTACAAAGAGAAAACAGAACGAACTAAGCCCCGATGTGCCAGTGCTACGTGCCACATGCCACATTTGTGCCCCATGGGGAAACCTGTCTCTACGTCCGTCCTGGACCCACAGCTCTTCCATTTCCAGCTCAGGCCTCCATCTGGGACACACGGCAGACAATGCTGGGACCCGTAGGCCCTGCCGGACCTTTCCTCTCCCTCCCTCCCCGGATAAGGCGGCTGCTCGGCTCACTCACCGGTGATGGACTCTGTGGGGATGGCTCTTTCCTCCAGGCCCCGCTGACTCCGGACACACAGGGCTTCCTCCCGCTTCACCTGAGAGGGCACATCTGGTGCAGGCACCAGGGGCTCTGCTCCTGGGGACACAGAATCACATCATTTGGTGTCTTTTCTGAATGACCATCACCCAGATGTGCTCTTGGGGTCAGGAGAGCAGCTGACGGCCCTTGCCAGGGATGAGCCAAAGGGGTCTCACATTCCTGCAGGCGACTACAGGGGACCCGACGAGCAGCATGTCCTGGGAGCAGAGAAGCAATCAACACTCAGCACAAAGGGGTAGGCCATGCAACAACGTGTGGAGTGACAGGCCGGGAGAGAGCCCAGGAACAGTCCCACGCCGGCTCGGGGGCCAGTCAGGACTAGTCTGACCTTCACGTAGGAGTGATCTGTCCTTGTTTCTCACCCCAGTCACACAGACACACGCAGGCACCTACTCGCACACACTCACACACACATATATAATTAGAAAAACGTTAGCCTGGGCAGCCCTGGCCGGCGTGGCTCAGTTGGTTGGGCGTTGCCCTGTGCACCCAAAGGTCTCGGGCTCGATTCCTGGTCAGAGCACACGCCCAGGCTGCAGGCTCCATCCCCAGTCTGGGTGTGTATCGGAGGCAACCGATCAATGTTTCTCTCTCACATTGATGTTTCTCTCTCTCCCCACTCCTCTCTCCTAAAACCAATAAAAAATATTAAAATAAAAATTAAAAATCTTAAAAACAACAACACCTGGGCAAAGAGATGCAATCCAACCCCCCACTAGGATGCAGAGCACGGCATCCTTATGTACAGAAGACAGTGAGGAATCCTCTGCGTAGACCCCAAGATGTGACAAGAGGGCGTTTTCCTCTTACGCTGTTCTGCGGTGCGACAGGACTACCCCGGCAGGAGACAGCTCAGGCAGCAGGAAAGAGATCAGAGGAGGCACCAGGAGACGTGGTCCTGGTCTGAACTCTGCCCCCAGCCCAGCAGATGAGTCACTCGACCTCTCCGGCTCTGCCTGCCTGTCCCATCCCTAAAATGGGCACAGAGGTCCCTGTCCTGGGGGCACACTGACGGGGGACAGCTCAGTGCTCTCAACGTGAAAGGCCGCCTCAGCCGCCAACCTCGGGTGGCTGCAGGTTCTAGGTATTTTCTCCGTAACTGTCTTTGCCACAAGCATTTTCACTGCACAGCTAACAGGCCAGAAGGCAATTTCAGCCGTAACAGATAAAAATAACAAAAAATAAAAGAGGGACATTAAGAAGAATGTAATAAAACACAAACATCTAAAAAACAAAACAAACAAACAAATCTCCAAAATAAATGAACAAGCAGAACAGAAACAGACTCACAGATACAGAGAATGTTTTGACAGTTGGCAGATGGGAGTGGGGGCTGGGAAGATGCATGAAAAAGGCAAAGGGATTCAGAAGCACCATGCAGAAGTTATTAAGTAGTCATGGGGATGTGGAGTACAGCATAGGGAATACAGTCAAAAATATTCTAGCCCGGCTGGGCGTGGCTCAGTGGTTGAGCGTCGACCTAGGATCCAGGCGATCAGGGTTCGATTCCCGGTCAGGCCCCATGCCCGGTTGCAGGCTCGATCAATGACTCTCTCATCATTGATGTTTCTATCTCCCTCTCTCCCTCTCCCTTCCTTTCTCTGGAATCAATAAAGATATATTTTTTAAAAAATAAAATATCCTAATAACTATGTCTGGTGTCAGGCGGGTACGAGATTTATCAGGATGATCACTTAGTAGGTTACGTAATGTTTAACTGCCTAGGTGTACACCTGAAACTAATATAATATGTCAACTGTAATTGAAAAATAAAAAATGATTTTTAAAAAAAGGAAAAACTCTACGGCAAACACCAAAAAAATTTAAGAAGACGTAAATAATAATTCAATACAAGAGATATAATGGAATCATAAAAATGGGTCAGTTAACCCAAGAGAAGGCAAAACAGGTAGTTGGTTGGAGCGCTGTCCCAATACGCCAAAGGTTATGTGGGTTTGATCTCCAGTCAGGGCACATACAAGAGCCAACCAATGATGCATAAATAAGTGGAACAACAAATGGATGTTTCCCTCTCTCTCTCTCTCTCAAATCAATAAATAAAAATAAGAAGATTTAATAACATGAAAACTGTGAGAACCGCATCAATGCAGAAATGAAACCAATCTGACAACCAGCTTAGATATGTGAAGCCTGCCAAATGTAGAGTGCCAGTTACTTGATCTTTCACTAGTGAAACTGTCAATTGTGTGGCAAAATGTGTGGCAGCCAGCTGGCGTGGCTCAGTGGTTGAGAGTTGACCTAGGAACCAGAAGGTCACCATTCAGTTCCCAGTCAGGGCACATTCCCGGGTTTCAGGCTCGATCCCCAGTAGGGGGCGTGCAGGAGGCAGCCGATCAATGACTCTCATCATTGATGTTTCTATCTTTCTCTCCTTCTCTTCCTCTCTCTGAAATCAATTTTTTTAAAAAAATGTATGGCCCGGCCGGGCGTGGCTCAGCGGTTGAGTGTCAACCTAGGATCCAGGCGATCGGGGTTCGATTCCCGGTCAGGGCACATGCCTGGGTTGCGGGCTCCATCCCCAGTCAGGGGTGTGCAGGAGGCAGCCGATCAATGACTCACTCATCATTGATGTTTCTCTCTCTCTCTCTCTCCCTCTCCCTTCCTCTCTCTGAAATCAATAAAGATATATTTTAAAAAATAATAATAATAAAATAAAATAAATGTATGTGGCAAAAATGCTTGCAGCAAAGATGCTCATGGCGAAAATACCAAGCACAGGCAGGGACAGGTGACAGATCTACGCTAAGGCAGAGAATGCAGTTTGAGGGCCAGATTTCACCTGGTCCAACATCGCTCAGGAGAGCTGAGGCCCCAAGAAGAGACCCCAAGTGCAGAGCTGGGATGGGAAGCCCAGCACTTTCCATCCCAGTGAAAGGTGACCGGGTGTGATGCTGCAGGAGCTGGGCTTCCTTCCTGAGGAGAAAGCCTTGAGCTAAGTCTGCCTTTGATGTGGGGGTCTGTGTAAGAATGGGAGACGACACCGAGCAAGAAGCAACAGGCCCCAGCAAAACTGCATGCAGACTCCCTTTCTGCCCTACCCTGGGGCTGCTCCCGGGTCTTGGGCCTCTCACCGCAGGTCACCATCAGGCTGGGATGCTGCAAGCCTGCCCAGGCCCCTTCTCTCTCCCTGNCTGCTCCCGGGTCTTGGGCCTCTCACCGCAGGTCGCCATCAGGCTGGGATGCTGCAAGCCTGCCCAGGCCCCTTCTCTCTCCCTGCTTACCTGGGTGTGCAGAGCTGCACAGCTCTGACCCAGCGCCCTGGTGGGCTTTCAGGCCCTGAAATCTCTTCATGTAGGTGGCCGCCAAATTTCAGTGGTGGCAGAAATGGCCCCACAAGCAACTCTAGAGAAGCCCCTGTTGAACTGAGGCAGGGGAGGCCCTGCCCTGGACCTCAGGGTCCTTTCAGCTGCGATCACCTGTGTCTGGATCCATCAGGATTTCTCTCTCTTCTGGGTCACGCTGCTCCCACACACAAGGCTCTTCCCTGGGCTCCGCCTGGGACGGGGCCTCTGGCTTGGGCCCGGGACCCTCTGCGTCTGGAATGGTCGGAAGCAAGGACTGAGTGAAGCTGACCAAGGAGCCCCGACCCAGGGCGATGGCAGAACTCTCCCCATCCCCAACCTCCTCCCACCTGCTGAAGGAGCACCTCAGGTCATCAGTCTCTTAAGAGGAGCCTGAAAACGAGCCCATAGATTCCCGGACTTATGATGTGGGGATGGCTGGTCTGGGAAGCCAACAGCGGGCCACCTGTGGCTTATCGAGGCTGCTGGCGCGGGGAGGGGAAAATGATGCTGTCTGAGCGTATCCAAAACAGCGGTGGGTCTACGGCCATGCCACCCCCAGCACGCCCATCTCGTCCCAAATAGCGGTGGCGCTGGGTTCTGCCATAGGCCCTGTTTCTGGGTTTTTCATTTGCATCCTGTTAGGAACCATGCTACCTCCCTCGCATGATAAGCAAACTGTGTCTAGAGTTTCCACAAACAGGAAACACCCGCCCAGGTGGTGGGAAGCGGGAGGAAAACATGCCACGCCCCCTGGGTGCCACACCCTACAAGCCACGCCCATCACGCCACGCCCCTTGGTGCCACACCCCTGCGTGCCACGCCCCATCACGCCACACCCACACCACGCCCCATGCAGGCCACGCCCCTGGGTGCCACGCCCTGGGTGCCACGCCCCTGGGTGCCACGCCCCTGGGCGCCACGCCCCTGCACACCAGCCTCCTCTACACACATTGCCCCCTGCACGCCACGCCCCTTTGCACGCCACGCCCCTTTGCACGCCACGCCCCCTGCACGCCACGCCCCCTGCATGCCACACCCTTCTGCAGGGAAGCTGGCCAGGCCCGAAGTGCGCTCACCCAGGGACACGAGGGTTTTGTAGTTTTCCTTCACGAGGTTGTTGTACAGCTCCTTCTGCCACTCGTCCAAGTTCTTCCACTCGTCCTCGGAGAAGTAAACGGCAATGTCCACAAAAGTCACCGGAACCTGGGCCAACAAGAGTTTTATTTTTATTTTTTAAATTTTTTCTTTTTTTGAATATATCTTTATTGATTTCAGAGAGAGGAAAGGAGAGGGAGAGAGAGAGAGAGAAACAATGATGAGAGAGTTATTGATCGGCTGCCTCCTGCAGGCCCCCGACTGAGGACGGAGCCCGCAACCCGGGCATGTGCCCTGACCGGGAATCGAACCTCGATCTCCTGGATCTTAGGTCTACACGCAACCGCTGAGCCACGCCCGGCCGGCCACCAACAAGAGTTTTAGTCTGGAGCCTCCCCCCACCTCCCCTTCTCGGACCCTGGGAGCCCCGGCCTTTGCTCTCCAGAGCTCCAGGTCCTCCTAGCCCAGCCCGGCCCCCTTCAGTGTGGTCAGTCCACTCTACTCCTGACCTCCTGGTGCTTCTGGAATGGTGATGGTCAAGACTGCCCTCTTTTCTATTTTATTTATTTATTAGAATGTATTTTGGTGTGTTTTTTGGAATTGACTTTAGAGAGAGAGGAAGGGGGATGGATAGCCAGATAGATACACTGATGAGAAACATCATCGGTGGGCTGCCTCCTGCATGCCCCCTACTGGGGATGGAGCCTGCAACCCAGGGATGTGCCCTGACTGGGACTGAACCGGCAACCTCTTGGTTCATGGGTCGACGCTCTAACCACTGAGCCACACCAGCCCGTCTGCCGTCTTCCTTTTTGAAGCATTTACCATATCCTTTGTAATTTCACTTTTAGGTAACCGGGTACCCTGAAGGTAGAGCTGGAGTCACTGCGCTACTTTTGGAGCTCAGGGTGACAGAGGTGTGGTCGGTTTTAAGTGGGTATCGGTGAGCCAAGTACAGTAAAACCCTGTTATAAAACCTGTATTTCTGGTCAGGTCACCTCTAAGCACACGGTACAGGGACATTTTTGTCATTACCCATGTAAAATCTAAAGGCATGCGCGGAAGCTCCGGGACCTCCACCTGCTTTTTTCTCAGTTGGGTCCCAAGCATCCAGAAGCACTAAGTTTGAAGTCAAAGACATCTATTGAATGTGCTGGATTGTGGCTGCCAATACCAGGAATTCCAATGTAGCCCGAGCCACCCACTGTCCACGGTCAGTCCCTCGTCACTCGATCTGTTATTTATGCTGTTGTTGCAGTGTGACAAGGACCCTTGTCTGTCACTCACCAGCATGGCCTCACCTGGGACCAAATCGTTCAAGATGGTTTCACTTCCATGACTTTGTTTTTATTTATTTATTTTTAAATGTCTTTATTGATTTGAGAGAGAGGAAGAGAGAGACAGAAACATCAGTGATGAGAGAGAGTCATTGACCAGCTGCCTCCTGCACACCCCTTACTGGGGATCGAGCCCACCATCTGGGCCCATGCCCTGACCAGGAATCAAACTATGATCTCCTGGTTCATGGGTGGATGCTCAACCACTGAGCCACACCAGCCGGGCTCACTGCCATGATTTTAATAACCAAACTTCCCGTCTCTGACCTCAGAGCCTTACCTACTGCCACTTTCCCATCCCTGCTGGACCAGCCTTTCCCCCTCACTCTGAAACCCAACCCCTCAATTCTCCCCCAGGCTCTAAGCCTAGTCCACCAGTCTCCTACCTGCACACACAGAGCCACGGCTGGCCCACGGAGCACCTGTGCGCAAATGAGAAAGAGACAGCCCTCTGGGTGCCGGGCCCACTCGTGCACAGTTTGGTGGGTGGGCGACGCCCTTCCATAAATTAGAAACGTTCATCCCTTGCACCAGGTGCTCATAACTCCAAGGGCATCCTGCACAGGTACGATGCACACACCTGTATGTTGCAAATAGCTCACCAGCCATCTTTAGAAACAGGCTGCACAGACGGGCGAGTCCCCAACCTGGAATAACCGACGCAGACCATGTTCCTTATTTTACTTCCCTGCTGCTACATGAAAGTCACAAAATTCTGCAGGGGACGCCCACCACATGTTCGTATCACTTGTCTCCGGCTGCTCTGGAAGCCGCTCGCTGATCTGGGTGACCCCTCCTCGCTGCGCTCCCGGGGAGGCTTCTTTCCAACTCCTCCCCCGCCTTCCCTGTCTACCCTTGATCGCGGGGAGCTGTTGGCAGGGCGAGCTCCCTTCCCTGCCCTTCTCCTTGCCAAGCCAAACTCCTCACTATGTGCCCTTCATTTCTCCTCCGCCTCCTGCCTGGGAAACTCAACCCAAAAGGTCACTCGGTTTCTCCTTTCTCCACCGGCTTTCCCTCCAGGGTCACCCAACCCGAGAGGAATCCCACTCAACTCTGCTACCTCGGCCAACTCGACGTTCCCCCATCTCCCTTCACTCGAAATGTCCTGAGACACGTGCTCTGTGCTTTCTTCTTCACGGCCCGCACATCCTTTGGCCCCTTAATGTGAGTGTAAGAGCCCCACTCTCCAGGGCACTGCCCTGGAAGGTCACTGGTGGACTCCTGCCGTTAACCCTCACCCTCTGGAAGGTCTCATCACAGTGGTGGGACTTTTCTCCTGCTTGGTTTCCGCAATGCCGCGGCCTCCTGCCCGTGTGGCTCAGGGCTTCTTCACGGCTTCCTTCCCCGAGACCCACGGTCCCGCCCTCCCCCTCCCCTGTTTCTTCCTTCCCTTGGCAATTTCACTGTTTTCACAACCTCAACGGTTACCTCTTTGCAGACGGCACTCTTCAGCTTTCCTCACTCCCTTCCCAGTTTGCATTCTCACAGCCCTCTGAGTGGCCCTCCCCTTAATCACCTTTTAAGCACCTCGAACGAAACGCACCCAAAACCAAGTTCATTATCTTTCCCGACATCCCAACTCCTTGGCCTCCCTTCACCACTCCTGTGGATGGTCAGAGTTCTGGAATCACACCCTCGCAGCTGGAAACAGACGTCACTTTTGAAAACTTCACCACGTCAGGATGTAACAGAAGTCTAGAGCCATGGCCCGAGCCTACGGTCTAGTTGGATAGAAAAAGCAACGCACAAATGATCTGTAAACCAGTGAACAGACACAGCAGAATCCAAGGGGCACACTGGATCTCAGAGCCCACAGCCCTCCCTGAATCTGACAAAGACGATGCATCCAGCACGGCCAAGAGTCCACGATGAATTATGACAATTGCCAGCAACATGAACTTATATTCTCATGGTGCTTTATGGTTGTGGGGTTTTAAAATATGTCCACAGCCCAGCTGGTGTGGCTCAGTGGCAACCTATGAACCAGGAGGTCATGGTTCGATTCTCGGTCAGGGCACATGCCTGCATTTCGGGCTCGGCCCTCAGTAGGGGGAGTGCAGGAGGCAGCCGGTCAATGACTCTCTCTTATCATTGATGTTTCTCTCTCTCTCCCTCTCCTTTCCTCTCTCTGAAATCAATAAAAACGTATTTTAAATAAATATGTCAAGAAATTCTTTGACAGTCTCTTCAAAAAGCAGAGTCCACTTCTCTCCCCCTTGAGCGTGGGCAGGACTTAGTGACTTGCTCCTAAGAGACACATGAAGAAGTGATGGCGTATTACTTCTGAGCCTAGGTCATAAGACATATTGCAGCTTCCGTCCTGGTCTCTCTCTTGATTCACTCGTTCTGGGGGAAGCCAGCTGCCATGTTGGAAGGACGCCCAAGCAGCCCTGTGGGGCGGTCCACATGGGGAGGAACTCGGGCTTTCTGCCAACAGCCAAGCAAGAGAGAGACACTGGAGGCAGGCGCTCCCACCTCGGTCGGGCCTTCAGGTGACTGGAGCCCCAGTAGATACCTTCGTGAGACTCTGCACCACAACCACTAAGCTAAGCTGCTCCTGGATTCCTAACCCACAAAAAGTGTAAGATGATACATAATTATTTTTTTAGGCTGCTAAATTTGGGTAACTTGTTACACAGCAATAGGCAACTAATACATAGTGTTTTCCCATCAACAAAATCATCGAATCCTCACCACTCCATGCATATTATCACTAAGTATATTATCACCTTCACTATCCAGACGAGAACACTGGTGCTCAGAGGCACCAGCTGGGAATTTCCTGTACTATTATTTACGTACACTTCACTTCATTCAAAGGAGGGGTTGAGGAGACTCAGCAACAGTAAAATACATACTTGACCAGTGGTGGGGAAACCAGTAAGTGTGAAGCTGAGTTCCAAACCCTAGTCCTCTGACTCTGGACACCATAACCATTGCATCATTCCAAGTCGGGGGCCCCAACGCCTGATCCAGCACATAGAACACACCACAGGGCCACGTAAGGACAGAGCACCAGGTCAGACGCGTGGCCCAGACAAGAGAAAGGGCCGTGTGTGCAGATGCTGACTGTGCCGGGTAGGCCGTAAGAGCCATGCTGAAAACCAGTCTTGGGGGCCGCGGTGGCTCACAAGGGACTGTTTTAGGGAGGTAGCAGGCCATTGTTCCAACTTGGTTCCGGGAGGGCTCAATCAACGCCTGTCTGACAGCGACTCTGGTGGAGTCACTGGGCGTTGCCCCTGCGGATACAGACACAGAAGGCCTGGCCCCTCAGAGAAAAGGGTGAGCTCCAGCCGGAGTGGCTCAGCAAGTGTTTTTTCACACCAACCAGAATCCAGGCGCTGTTACAGGCACAGAGACAGCGGTGAGCCAAGCAGAACTGACATCGTGATCAGAGAAGAGCAACCAAGAAGACAAAACCGGACGCCAATACTTAAGGTGCCCGATGACATAAGGACTTGGAGGACACGAGAGCGGAGACAGAGGAAGAGTGCGCCGGGCTTGGGGAGATGCGGCTCTCAGGGCCACGGGAGGGCACACCGATCAAGGGGCGGCTGAGCAGACCTTGGGGGGGGGGCCGGGGAGGGAGGAACTTTT